GACACATGACAATGGCGAGGATGATCCATAATACAGAAGTTTTTTTTGGGGTTAGATCGCGTCAATATATAAATGCTGTGTCGTTAAACCCGCCACCACCCGACCACAGCCAATTAGTAAGGGGTTTGTCACGTAAGCCGAACGTGCCAATTCGTCACCAGTTACACGACACCGGTTTGTGGGAGAGCCAAGCCAGAAACATTTACAATGCGGGTGCCACGTTTCGCCAGTAATTACAACCAGTTTCATCAGGCGACAGCCAGATTTGTGGAGAAAGTCCACCCGTTTCGTTCCTTAGATAGAGACGTAGATGCGGGGGCAACTCTGGTGCGCTCTTCTTGCGATAATGATGGTGATTACGTGTATTGAGTATCTGTACGTATCTCATTTTGCATTTGTGAAACGGCGCTTGCTTTAGACGCTCCTCGACAGGCCGTTACGAGCAGTGGTTAATTGCCAGCGGCAAGCGATGAGGTTTCGAGAGAGGGGCGACTTGTTGCCTTGCCGAGTGCGGAGAGACGAGCTGAATCGATGGTCAGGGCACGGCAGGGTCGTGTCGGTGTCGTCGTTCGTGTCGGTGTCTTCGTTCGTGTCGTGTCGGTGTTGTGTCGGTGTCTTCGTTCGTGTTGTGTCGGTGTCGTCGTTCGTGTTGGTGTCGTCGTTCGTGTCGTGTCGGTGTTGTGTCGGTGTCGTCGTTCGTGTCGGTGTCGTCGTTCGTCGCAGTACGAACGACGCCAATCTCGAGTCGTCGTGAACTCGAGACCGCCACTTGCACAACGGGCAACGCGAAAAGCGGGCACGCTCACAGTTAGCGCGGTCGGCTACGTACGGTGCGAAAGAAGTTCAACAAACTGTACACGCATAGCGGGGCTGTTATCATTGACATGAATTGCCCGTGATGTGGGGCATCAGCAACTTGTTGCGGTTGTTGTTATTGTTGCTTAACTTCGCCGGTCATGTCATCGCTCGTGCTGAGTATATACTCCTCAAGGACTCGGAGTGAGTATCCCGTGCTGTCTATCTCGCAGTCTTGCGTGGGACACAGGACTCATCATGCCTTCGACCATCTGGCAAGTTCACCAGCATTGATCTGCCGCTGATGAGACACCGCGTGTCGAAACCGGTCCCAAAGTTGTTTTTTGTTCGCAACCGAATCGACGCTGCTGATATGAATCGCTCACGGATAGCCCACGTGGCCGTTGGGTTTTGTCAGAAATACTTTCCTTATGTATGTAGAGAGACAGAGATAATGTGATTGAGACATTGTTTGCCTGACTGTCTCGCAATCATATAGACACCACCGTGTGTGTGTCTGTGTGTGCGTGCACGTGGGGAGCGGTGGTGTAGCGGTTAGCGCGCTGCGCTATCAACCCGGCGACCCGGGTTCGATTCCGGCTCACGGCCACCAACAGTGACGATTTTCTGAACCGGTCCTGGGCCTCCCCTAGGTCGACTCAGCCTCAAATGAGTACCTGGTGCGGTGTGTAAACATTGCCATTGGGGAGACAAAGGCGGTCGGGCGTGGTGCTGGCCACCCACCCCCTCGTTTACCGTTCCGGCCTTCATAGGTGCTCGCTAACAGCACTTGCCCCTATAGTCTGTTAAGGCTATACGGGGGCTCTTTGTCTATGCATACAAGTGGGGGGGTATATCGCCACGAACCCAGCAAACCGAAGTTGGATTCCCTCTCACGACCCGATATCGATGACGAATATTTTAACCGGTTCTAGGCCTACCCCGTAGGTCGACTCAGCCTTAAATGAGGACCTGTTGCGGTGTGTTAAACATCACCACTGGGGAGACAAAGGTGGCCGGGCGTGGTGTCCGCCACCCCATCCCCTTCGTGTGCACTTGCCCCGACAGTCTGTTGAGGCTATACGGGTGATATTTGTTTTTGTGTGTGTTTTTAAATGTGCGTACGAGCACCCGCGCATAAACGTGCGTTTTTTTTTTAACGCGGTGCGTCTATTTGCTTATGCTTATGTATATGTACGTGTTGATACGTCTGCATCTGTGTATTATGTACTTGTATGTACTTAAATGAGTACATGCTGCGGTGTGTAAAAAAAAATCACCGCTGGGGAGACAAAGGCGGTCGGGTGCGGGACTAGCCACACCACCCAATCGTGTGCCGTGCCCGCCTTAATGGGTTATAACAAACAGCACTTTCCCCAACAGTCTGTTAAAGGCTATACGAGGGGTATTTGTGTATGCACTGTATATATGTTTATGTATTTGTGTGTATGCGCGTGTGTGTGTGCATACACGATTCCCGCTCACGGCTTTCCCTCGGGCTACTCGATCTCAAATGAGTACCTGGTGCGACGTGTACTACATCGGCACTAGGGAGACAAAGGCGGCCGAGCGTGGTACTAGCCACGACACCCCCTCGTGTGCCGTGTCGGCCTTCATAGGTGTTCACGCTATCCGCACTTGCCGCAACAGTACGTTAAAGGCTATACGGGGGACCTTTGCATGTATGTGCGCGCGCGAGTGTTTTCACATCGACTGAACTGGTTCAACTTTACCCGGAGTCGAACTGAGTTCGACCACTACCGCGTGGAACCCCCTTGGACACGGGTTCAGGGTCGGCGTTATAGGTTTAGGGGTTCTGTGTAATAGTCACAGAGGCTGTGGATTTAAGGGGTACGGTTAGAGTGTTGGGTTTGGGTTCGGTGAGCGGTAATGGGTTTTGCTGTAGGTTTCGTTTACAGGACATAGGCCTGAGTCAGAATTATAGGTTCCGGGCTATATGTTCAGGTAATGTGTCAGGGTTAATGGTAGGTTAGGGTTACGCGTTATGGGTTATAGGTTCGAGTTGTTATGGGGCTTTGGGTTCGGTTTAAGCTCCGACCTATGGGTTGAAGTAAAAATTATCATTCAGGTTTTAGGGTGTTACGGGTTACGAGTCGCGAGTTATAATTTACGGGGTTACGGGCCATAGGTTAGAGTTAGAGGATAGGTTAGATTTCGGGGATAGGATGAAGGGTTCGGGTTTATGATTTGGGGTTCAGGGTTTGGGGCTAGGGTTGGAGTGGGACTCAGGGTTCGATCCTCCTCCTCCTCTGTCCTCCCCGTCAACGTTGAGCCTCGCATGAACGGCGCGCGTTTAATTGCGTGACTGCGCGCGACTCACGCCTATGCTCGCTGACAGCACTTTCCCCAACAGTCTGTTGAGGCTATACGGGGGCTATCTTTGCCTTTGTCTACGTGTGTCTGCGTGTATGCGTTAAGGCGAGAGAGTGTGTGTGATTGTGCGTGTGAGTGTGTATATATTTGTGTGTATGTGGGGATCGGTGGTGTAGCGGTTAGCGCGCTGCGCTACGAACCGGGCGACACGGGTTCGATTCCCGCTCACGGCTAACACCAGTGATAGCGATTATCCGAACCGGTCATGTGCCTCCCCTAGGTCGACTCAGCCTCAAATGAGTACCTGGTGCGGTGTGAAGTAAACATCGCCACTGGGGGAGACAAAGGCGGCCGGGCGTTATTCTGGCCACTCACCCCCTCGTGTGCCATCCCGGCCTTCATATGTGCCTCTCGCTCACGGCACTTGCCCCAACAGTCTATGTAAAGCATAGACGGCGGGGTGACGGATCTTGGTCTTTGCACGCGAGTGAGCGGAGCGGTGGCGCAGTGATTAGCGCGCTGCCCTATGAACTCATGGGGGACGAGTTGGCACCTGAACCGGGTCCTGGACGCTCGCCCCCTCTCAACCCTCGCGACCGACCCGCGGCCTGCGCGAGGCCTCGTTCACCCGGCAGTGTCTATCCACTGCTGGGTGATGATGACAGCCCGCCCGATGCTCTGACCGCCGCTGCGCGAGAGAGTTCCATGCGCAGCTCCCTAAACCCCCCGGCGCTCTCTCACTCTCTTCTCCTGCGATCTCTCTCCGCGACACTTTCTCGTCAACTCTCCCTCCTGCACTCTCAGTCCATCTCGCTTTCCCCCTGCGCCATCTCCTGCACCATCTCTCTCTCTCGTTACGTCGCTTCCGCGCGCGCTCTCTCTCCAGCTCTCCCTTCTTACAATCTCCCTCCCACAATCCCGCTGTCAATCCCACGGACGAACAGGCAGCGAGCCAGCAAGCGGCAGCAGCAGCAAATGCGCGTCTCTGTCGACAACTCCTCTTCAATTACTATCATCACCATTGCCACGGGCACGGCGTTTGTTTTTGGGGGTATTTTTGGCTTTCGACCATCTATTGAGTGACCGATTGATTAATTGATCGATTAATCGGATTGATAACGACCGGCGTTGCACGATTAATCGGTAGCCGCGCGCGCCCGCTCATCGAACGCGGTGGTGGAACGAAAGCGAACCAACGAGACAGCGGTGTTACGAAATATTTGCATTCGCAAGCTCAGCACCGCCAACACAAATATGCATATAAAGACGTACACAAATTAAGAAAATGTACACAAGTGGAATGATAAGGTTAATTATACTACTAATAATGATGATGACATTATTAAGCACTACAACAACGGCTCGTACAGAGTTATCACATCTTCAACGTGCGCTCGGGGAATCGGGAATCGCTCCAAACTCTCAACTCTCTCTTTCTCTTCCTTCCCGAAGATTAAAAAAACACAAATAACAACGACAACATCAGAGAGATCGCGACATTAAAACAACACTCGGGTTGGTGGGTGGGGGGGTGTGAGGTCTGGGACCGACAAAAAAAATCCTCCAAAAATCTAAACATCTCCGGGCCAGAAATCGCGTTACAAACAATCAAATCAAGGAACACGCTACTGCTGCTACTACTGCTGCTGCTACTGCTGCTGCTGACTGCTGCCGCTGCTGACTGCTGCTACTGCTGACTGCTGCGTTACGCGCCCCACTTGCGCATCGAGACTCGACGCGCGCCACCGTCACAGCCACCACCACCACCGTCACCACCACCACCACCGTCACAGCCACCACCAACCACCACCGTCACCACCACCACCACCACCGTCACCACCCCTGTTACCAAAGTAATCGTCGACTGTTACCTCAAGTGACGACGCCACGTGACGCGTCGCTGGCAAATCCGTCACGCGTCGCACGGATCTCTGATCGCGTTCTCTTCTCGCGTGCGTACAGAGAGAGAGAGATTTTTTTTTTAATTTACGTCGTGAAGGGGAAAGAGGCGGGGGGGGGGGGGTTGCTTCGGTTGGGTGTCCTCTCCGCTCTCTCTGTCTCTCTCTCTCGCGTCTCTTCTCGCTTCTCGTGTCGCGAAGCGGCTGCTGCTGATGCTGCTGCTGCTGCTGATGATGATGCTGCAGGTGACGTTGGGGATAGAGAGAGATGATGATGATGATGAAAGGTTGGGGGCGGGGGGGGGAAATGGGCGGGTGGGGATGCGAGTGAGTGAGGGAGTGAGCCGAGCTCTCGCCTCGAGCACTGAACCTCGGAGCTCGTCGCGCTCGGCCATTCATAGACCCCCCCCCCCTCTCTGCGCGCGCGCCTCCCAACAAAACTTTCTCCCGAACGGGGAGCCCGCGCGCGGTCCCCCCCCATTGGTCGGCCCCGGCGCGCGCCGCCTCCTCCGACCGCGCCCCCCCCCCCCGCTCCCACCCACCACCTCAGCCCCCCCCCCCGCCCGCACTGAACCCCCCCCCCCCCCCCCACCACCACCACGATCTCCAGAGAAGAGGCGGAGAGAGGTCGCCCATTGGCGGAGAGGCGGCGGTGATGACGCCCGCGTGGAGTTGGTGGAGGAGGTTTCGGGGGGGGGGGGGGGGGCGGCGGGGTGGCGGGGGTCTGCAAGGAGGGTGAGTGGGAGATGGGGATTGTGGTGGTGGTGGTGGTGGCGTCGGTCGGGGTAGTTGTGGTGGTGGTGATGTTGAATATTGTGGTGGTGGTGGTTATGGTGGTGTCGGTACGAGTTGTGGTAGTTGTTGGTGGCGGTGGTCGCGTCGGTGATGGTAGTGGTTGTGCGGTTGGGCACAGCAAAGTGAGAGAGCGAGAGGGACGTGTTCCTGTTGCTGCTGCTCTCCCAAAAGCTCCGCACACCGCTCGCGCAGCAGCGGGCGCATGAGTTCGACTCCCCCCGCACTCGAGGCGCGTGACAGCTGCGCACTTTGCATTCGCGAACGCGGCGCCCCGCATCTCAGAATCAGCGGCGAACACGCGCATCGAGACAAACGCGTTCACGTCGCGAGTCATGGGAGGATTTGAAAAGTATAACACCACCAAACACCACCAGACTAATCACCATCATCACCATTGCAGGTATCGCTCCTGGTGAGTACGGGTTCTAGACTCGGCTCGCTGCTGCTGCTGCTGGGACTTGAGTGATGGTTCGCGTTGCATTCGCGCGACCTTCCTCTCTCCCTGGTCGAATTCCGCTCGAGAGAGAGCGACGGAATCACCGCGGTTCGAGTCCCGAAACCTGGCGGGAGTGAGCGCAGGGGATGGGGAGGGTGCATGGAGGGCACTGACGGGGTTGGTGGGTCAGGACGGGAGAGGCGAGAGGGAGGAGAGAGCGTTGCAGAGAGGGAGGAGGGTGGTTGTGGATGTTTGGCGCTGGAGTGATGCCGCCGATTCCTTCCATTAGCGAAACAACAACAAAAAAAACCCCGCATTTTTATTGAAGGTGCAATCACGACGTCGGCGTATATCGCCGGCCTCGGCAAACATTTTTAGCTCGCGCGGAACCCTTCCGCACAATTACGCAGTTGATCGCACGGACAGACGCCAAACACGCAAACACAACGGGGGCGCGGCGCGTGCGGCTCGCAAAGTGCATTTGCTCCCCCCCACATCCCCCTCTTCGCTAAAGGCCACCACGTGCGTAGCTCAAAACTCTCCTCCCCCTCTTTCTCTCTCTGTTTGTCTCTCTGTCTGTCTCCCTGTCGAGGTGCCGTCCATCTCCACCGCGCGCTCCACGGGACCTCTTCTCGGGTTTTAGTTGAGAGCCCCCCACCCCGTCTCCTGCTCGACTCCCGACGTCCGTCGGCTGCGTTCACCGTTCGCGGTGTCGATCGGCTCGCGGCTTCGGCAATGACCCCGCCCCCCGCAACAAAAGCGTGGGGGTCCTACGGGTAGCACGGGGGTCGCGGGACCCCGTTCCGTTCCACGCATCCGCGCGCGCGTGTCCCCGTGGGCTCATCGGGGAAGGACGTCGCGTCGGGATGATGAGGAGGTGGAGGTGGTGGTGGCGGTGGTGGCGGTGATGGGCTGCGGGGTTGGTGGTGTGTGTGGGCGGTGGAGGGGGAGGGGCATTCCAGGACCAACTGGTGCCATCTGGACATACGGAGCCGGCTTCGAGGAGTCGAGGGGTTCGCGTCGGTTTATGGCATCGTGGTCGCGCGCGAGGCGAACGCACGGAGGGAGAGGCAAATATGTGCGTAACGCGCACCTCGCCTCGACGTTTAGACGCGGATCGACGCGGCGCGGACGCTCTCCCTCCGCGCGCGCGCGATTGCCCCGGGGCCATAACACCTCGCAGATGTTCCCCGGGCTCTGTCAGCGGATAAATGCGCCGTAAACGTCTCAGGAAATATTTGAAGAGCAAACATTGACAGAACTTAACCTCCCCCTCTCTCTCTCTCTCCTCCTGCCCCCTTCTCCTCCTCCTCTCCTGCTCTCTCCCCCCGCCCTGCATCCCCCCTCCCCCCGATCCCTTATCTCCCCCCCCCCCCACTCCGCGCCCCCCCCCCACTCCTCTGTCGGTCGGGGCCGACGGTGGCAGCCGCTCCGCCCCTAGCGATGAACGAGGAGTGGGGCGTCCAGGCGGGAGTGAGCCGGGGGTTTGTGTACACTCACTCTCACGCACGCACACAAACCTGTCCCCTTTTAGAAGTTAAAATAATATATATACACGCACACACACACGCACCATATGTTAGCAATTATACATTAACCACGTGATGTTGCTACGAGCGAGAGACGCGGGGGTGGGAGCGAGAGGAGAGAGCGCGAGAGAGCGCGCCCGGACACGGTTGCGTGTCGGTGTCGTGACTCGAGACGCCGCCCCGTGTTGTTCGACGAACTCTCCACGTCCCTCTGTCTCTCTCTCTCTCTCTCTGTGTCTCTCTCTGTGTCTCTCTCTGTGTCTCTCTCTCTCTTACTCCGTGGAGCCGTCGCCTGCTATGATTGATTCGCTCCGTAATCTCCCCACTGCCGACGGAGGTGACTTGAGCCCCAATCTCTCGTGCTCCCCGGCGCTCAAGAGGCGCCTGACGCGGTTCGTTGGCCGGTCTCTGCCGCTCACCGCATCAGGTCCAGAAGCAACGATGGACGAGACCCCCCCCCCCTTCCCCTCCCCAAGTGAGTCGAGGGTCTCCCGCGGGACAACCTCGGCTGTCGGGGAAGGTGGGTGGGGTGGGTGGGGTGGGTGGGGGGTACCGAGGCTCGGCTCTCGACTCTGCACGTGGAGGCGGTGCAAGGTTGCCGTGTGATGGGACGACTTCCCAGGACCATTGTGGGTTGCTTTTGGAGCGGGGTGGGGGGGGGGGGTAACTGAGATGGGATGGTGGGGGGCTGCTGCTGCTGATTGTGATCCCGGGTCGACATGGACAGAGTGGGAGAGCCACACGTGTAGGAAGAGGGGGGGGGGGGGGTGATGAAAAGTTATCCCCCGCAACTGTTTTAGCGAAGGGGCATTTTGTTTTGCGGTAGATATGAGAGGATGGGCGGTCGAGTTGTGGCGGGGAGGGGGGGGGGCTAGGTGTACAGAACCCACAATCACTGCTGAGGAGTCCTAGTGGGGGGGGGGCATCTGAGAGCCCATTGAGGTGACCTGCATCCCACCCACCCCCCCCCCGCCCCCCCCCCCCCCCCCCCCTTGAGACCCATGGTCATTTCACAACCATTGAACAATACAAGACACATCAGCGTGTTACAATTGATTGTACTATTCTTATAATTATTATAAAACAAAAACATTCGATTATTAACGACAGCCAATGGGTAAGCATTGACATGCATTTATATGTTTGGGCCGTGCCACGTGCCTGTCTTGAACTAAAACTATTTTAATTTTACCAAATTAAGAGTTCCCACTGAGCTATGAAGCTCGTTATCAGACGCGACCAGGCCATCACAAACGATAGCTCACACGAAGTGGCTTATCATCATCATCATCATCACGTGGACGGTATTTTCGCAGCAGCCAAAATGCTCCAAACGCGTGACGTTGCTTCTAAACGTGGAAGGGAAGGGGTGGGGGAAATCGGAGGAACCGGAGAGAAAATAAATCCACGCTACCTTGACGATGAATGGTGTCACGCGGCCTTAAACGTCGGCGCTCACTTGTGTAAGTGTGCCGCGTGATCAACCCTCACGCAGGGGAGAGATTTCGGCCGAGTCTCGAGACGCGTTTTCACGAGGGTCCTGCTGCCACGCTTTGACATTTGGCCGCGAAATCCGTCGTTCTGCCCCCGTGCGGGAAGCGGAGATGGTAGATTCATGCCGCAGAACACCCAGCGGTGAGGACACTCACAGCACCGCAAAAAGATAGGTTCAGCATGTACGGATGTGGATGTTGAACTTGTGTCGCACCGTGCATTGCCAACCGTGCTAATCGCAGGTGCGGCAGAAGGGCAACAAACTAAAACACAGAACGCAGCTCTAGAGAGACGAGTTTTTTAATCTAAAAGTGTAGTACAACTCCAACGATGACTACCCCGCACCTCTGATGTAACAAAAACCGTGACGTATCCCGGCAGTGCGAGGAATATTTCACGATGCGTGGATGAGTGGGGGACTCCCAAGTGAATTGGACAAAAAAAATATTTGTAAAATATACAGGGAGCTTTAAATGTTTAATGTTGCGGCATACAGATCAACCGCGCAGTTACTGGGACAGCTGCCACGAACAGAGACGAATGGTGTTGTGAGTGATACTAACGTTGTCAAGTAGTGAACAATCACAAACAATAACAACAACAACAACACGTGGGCCCGAATCGTTAAAAACGATAGACAATAGGCGACTTTTCTGGAAGCGGGCCCTTTTTCACAGCACATGAATCATTCACCTTCATTTGCGCTCCGAATACGGCTAATTGCCCGAATCGTCGCCTACCTATAATCTAAATACGTTTCCCCATTTAAGGCCACGCAGTTTTTGCTGGTGACGAATGTCGCGCCTTCAGCGATGAATTAACGGCCCCTTTAGAGAGGCGACTGGGAACTGGGGGGGGGGGGCGGTGGGGGGGGTGCTCGGGGTGGGGGTGGAGGGGGGGCGAAGTGGCCGTAGGAGGAGGGGGGGCAGGAGGTGGGAGTGGTGAGAAAATAATTAATGATGTTCGCCTCATTAGCGATTTGTCGGCTCCGA